ATCAACCTTCCTAATCAAATAAGAAGTTCCTTTCATCCAAATTCTAATCTTGTTATAATAGTAAAGAGGAGTAATCAAATTCTAATCTTGCATTAGCATACCAATACAATACACGAAGAACAAGAAGCCATGTTGCACCCCAAAGTATATCATGCTGCAGTTATCAAGGAGGTTGAATATAAATACCTGTATCCATTGTAGCAGACAAACCCTTGCGGAATGAGTGATGAATCAGTGCTTGGTCGACTGGTGTGGTTTTCCTCAGTTAAATATTCCTTAGGTTTTCTCATCTCTTTGACTCTAATGGGGTAGAGCAATGAGGGCGGCTAGATGATTTAACATAACCTAGGAGCCTTTATATTTTTACCTAATAGGATCCCATTAAGCCTATATGGGCCAAAATGTGGTATCCACTCATTAAGCCCCATACCTTCTTGTTGAAATCTACGGGTTTTGCATAAATGAATCACTTGATTTAGCCCACTTACAAAATAGCCCATCGATGCAATTGTTTCACTAAATATGTAAATCCACTTAACAGAGATTAAAACCTAATAATAAACACTTAGGGGCTGGAGTGCTTTTTATTCTTGGTTGGTGAAGTCAATTAGTGGCATGTGAAACTCTTGTTTCTTGTTGCTTTGCATTTTTTCGTTTTCTACTCAATCATATCATTTTTAGCTATTTATAGCACTATGGATTCATTATATACATAGAGAATAGAAGAGTCAGCCTTTAAACAAATGATTTACATCACATCATCAAATATTGTTTCTACAGCTTTTTGAAGTATATATATTTCTTAGTTCGTTGTAGGTTTACACAATGCATGTTAATGGATTGAATTGGATGTTTGAATATAGGGCTGTTTGCCCTCCCTTTTGAAGGAGATTGACTTGCCTTTTGGCTAGATTAATTGAATGTTGGATAGGTGCTATTTAAATCATCAACTTAATGCCAATCTTCACCACCTTCTGGTCAAAATGTGAATTGAAATGGGGCATCAAGTAATTGTAGGAATCTTGAAATATATAGATTGTGTTTGCAAATAAAGCCAATGTTATTGGTGAAAATTTCAATTAAAATTATTATTTTGATTTAGGTTAAGACGCATGGTTCATTTGGTTGGTGGTTGGCTTCTTTTTCTGTTTGGCTTTGGAACGTGAAGCCACAATTTGGAATTATTTGACATGGGTTTATGAATTTGGAACCACAAATCTCATTATTCTAGGACCATAGATAAGGGTTCTTTGGACACTAGGAATTCTAGTGTTCTTAGCCAAGAAAAATAGTTGTCAAGGCAACAAGGTGGCCATGGTTGGTTGCCTTGCTTAAGTGCCTAGCTATATTGAGTCCAATTCAGAGTGGGCTTGTCATGTTTCAGCAAGCCTCAGTGATATATTGAGTCCCAAGGTTAGGATTTTGCTACTATAAACAACTATCCTCTGACTGTCATGTATTAATCATCCCTTAACAGTGGTCAAGTTCAGCCAAGCTGAAAGCCAACAACTCATAATAGGAGATCCAAACTGAGATCATTTCGGCTTCAAATAGCTCAGGAAAAGAAAGAAAAGAGAAAACCTCTGCCATCCGGCTTAATTCTAAGGACGGATTGGTCCTCCTACGGCTAGTGTAGAAATTGGGCTTATGTTTTTTGTAGGAGACTTTTAGATTGACATGAGCCCCTCGAGAGAGGAAAGATACATGGGCTATTCTGCCATCCTGGAAACTCAATTGATTCCCTATGAGAGTGAGTCAGCTTCTAATAGAAACCTAGTGTTGCAATGCTGATTTGAAATCAAATCCCAAAAGAGGGAAGTGTACAGGGCTGGTATAAACTTGGGCTCCAAATCTGATGACAAAAAGAGGGGTACTAAACCTCAAAAAGATCTTCAACAACCTTGAAACTAGAACCAGTTTGGTTGACTTTGAGGAATTCCACTGACTAGCCTTGGGCTTTAGATGACATGAAGTAGGATTAAACAAATAGCAGTTGTGACACCAATTACAGATGATGCACCATTCATAGTAAAAACTTAGAGAAACCACCAGATAGACCTGAGATCAATCTAGAGAGCAAGGTGTTGAAATCATAGGACTTTAATTCCCCAAAAGTTCTTGCCCGAACCTATGATTTAAGTGCAAGTTAGAATAATCTATTGACAAACAAGAAATACCAACATCAAGAAATTCATAAGATGCACCTTCTAAACTGACAACAGTAACTTATTTATTTTTTTTCTTATGCAATAACTTGAACTCCTGTGCCCTGTCCAATAATTTGAAAAAAAAAAGAAATGCAATAGGACACCAATCTCATCTTTTCTTTCTATTTTTTTTTTTGATACTTGAAGCCAAAAATGAAATAGACCAGCAGTTGTGCCACAAAGTGGAAGAAGAACTTCAAGGTTCATTCTCATTACACCAATCCAACTGAGACTTAAATATATAGTTCTAATCATCATATTCATAATGTAATCAGGACTCAAGACAAAATAATATGCAATAAATAAACAATTCTAAACACAGAGATATGGAGCTGGAAACCAATCTGAAATTCAGAATTGAAACTCAGAACTGAATTTCAGATTAGGATTAGATTTCAAACTAAAATTCAGATATGAAATTGTAGGGTAAGATTACCAGTTCTGAAATTGCAGGATTAGATTTCAGATATGAAATTGTAGGATTAGATTATTAGAAACCAAAAACCTTTTGTCGTAGCAATGGAATTCAATGGTAGTTTGACTCTAACCTAGAACCTAAAACAATAGGTCTATCTGCTTGATATACCCTTTTCTTTCTTGAGTTCAATTTAGTGTTTATCTAGCCTATGCTCACTATGATAAATTATTTATTTGACTATGTGTTTGTCTTTGACTACCAGACATGAGGGCACCTTCATACATTGAAAGACAGGCAAATTGTAGGGGCCTTCTCTGCAATCCTAGGTGTCATCATTACCCTTATTATGGCGGGCTAATACACACTTTGTGAGCATCCGGGAGCAAGGGAAGTTAGGAGCATAGAAAAAGGGAAATTCATGAAGAGCATATTTAATAGCGAGAAGTCATGCCTTTTGTAGATTAGGATGAGAAGATGCTTTGATTCACTGTGTGATTTACTTAGATAGACTACATGGTCAACTCACACTAACCTTCCATTCAAATGTCTGGAATAGTACAATCCATGTTAGATTTGGCCAATCTTAGGAGACTGTTAGCCGATACTTTCATAAAGTCCTTTGTGCTGTGCTGAAGTTGTATGATTGTATCCTTTGTTGGTTGCACAACCTACAGGAGATCATGTACCGCTAGAAATCAGATATGATGCCYRATTCWTGCCATACTTCAAGGTATGCCTAATAATATGTATTGCTAACAATTGAACATATAAATTTAATCCATTACCCATATGACATGGATCTAGTTGAAATGTAGGATTGCATAGATGCTATTGATGGAACTCAGATTCCTTGCGTAGTTGAAATGTTTGGTTTTGTACCTACTCATTAGTTATTCTAAGTAAAGTGAGATGCTCTTGGCCAGTTGGGTACGATCCTACGACTGGTTCCATTGATCACTTCTTTGACTACATTAGTACATTCATTTATTTGGGTGCCAATTTGTTTACATTACAGAGGATTGCAGACCTAACTTCAAACCATTGCACACAGAATTTCTGACAAGAGGGTTGAAGAGCAGTTCATGGCAAAAGTACACATGGCTTCAATCACCTCTCTCTCTGAGATTCTCTCCAAAGCTTGAGACCACTGATAACAAATTTCAAAAACAGGGGGTGCACCGATTCTACCAGGAGAAAATGGAACTATTCCATCGGGGGTCACTTCCGGTTCATAGAAAAGACATTTCAGGAGCCAACCATTCAAGGAATTAACAAAACCCTTATATTCACTAATCCACCTGGAAAAATTTGAAATCCAGTTTAGAAGCTCTTGTTGGAATTGCATTATGGCTGCAAGATGAGCAGAGCTAAGCTTTCTGTTGGATGCAATAGCATCTAAATTTTTAGCCTTTGCTATGGCGTGTTCAAGGCAGAGACGATGTCTATGGTGGCATTATGGCGTGTTCAAAGCTCCCCTGAAACCAGGCCTCTTATGAGCACCATGGTGAAGATGTTGGAGGGATGCACCTGTGGTCTGCTTATCCCACGTGGGTAGGGGCTATGAAATATTGTACTCCAGTCCAAATTAACACAAGAGAAGTTATCCATGTAAAATTTACACCAATGTGTATTCCAAACACCAATAAAAAATTTCATCAAATTTCACACATCGACAACCAAACACAATCGGAGTAAATATTTAATTTCAACCGGTTCCAATTTACATGTATCACTGAACCGGTTTACATTTTTCCAGGAGTGTAAATTTACTTTTACACCTCAAACAAACGTAGCCTTGGTAACTATTTCCTATTATGGTATGCATTTTATCTTATTGGAAACTCAATCTAAACATTTCCTAATATGGATTAATCATTCTCAATGGCTTTCTAATGGCCAAATGCTCTCAGTGGTTTTAGTTTGAAAAGAACATGAATTAAATTAGTAAAAACCAACTAAGTAAACAAAGCACTGTTGTAAGCAATAGTCTTTGAGAAATAAGAGATATTTGTGCTAAATTAGTTATAATGAGAAGAAATGATTAACCTTTTTGACTTATTTACTTTTGTGAATTTCTAGTTGAACCTATATTGTTTGAGCATCTTGAAAATCGAAATGGCAACACATAATGTACAAGTAAAATTACAAAAGAAAAACTACTAAATTGAATCGTTGGAAGTTGGGGGTTTTTGAAAAGTTTAAACTATCACATGAGAATTTCAAATTAAACCGACGAATGCTAAGTTGGTAACTATGGGTTATGTTGGAAGTTGGAATCTAAGGCGGTGTTTGGTTTGAAGGAAAAGGTACAGAAAAGAAGGGAAACCAGACATAGCCTAAAAGTTTAAGGGGGGTCATTGGTAATTTACCCAAATAGAAACATCCAACCAAAGACGCTGAGTCGCTGACTTTAATCAGACTGTCACCATCTCAACGCAGTCATCCTTTCCGTTTCTCTGAGGTGAAACCCTAACCTAAAGATTTAATCCATTGCCGTTGTTGCGACAGTAGAGGGGATGACAACCGCTTACCATCACTGACCATCTACTTCCATCAACCGCTGTCGACAAGCGACCAGTAATAGCATCCAAACGAATTAACGAACCGTTTCTAGGTCACTACCGGCAGCCATCGCCGATTGCTCACCGCTGCAACTGTTCCAGCTAAAGAGTAGAACTTAAAAGGTACCAACATAACAGTGCCTACTGGGTTTTCTTTTTTGCTTTGTATTTTCGCTTATTTTTGCTCCCGAATGAATTGAAAAGCCTGTATTTTTGTAGAATACTGATCAATCTTATTATAGATAATACTGATTTTTGTATTTCCTTATTCTTTGAAAAGTTCATATTTTTTCCCTTATTCTTTGTCGATCAATCTTCTTATGATTATTCAGTGTAGATAATATTGATCAATCTTATCCTATTTCATAATCCAATCGAATGGAATTCGAATTGGATATCCGGCAACCTTTATACCCCGATCAGAGTTCGATTAGATCCGTTTGCAGTCCTACCCTTGGGATTAGAACTTATTACAGTTTAGCTGTTGGTCTAACGACTCTAGTGCATTCCTCGTCATTCTGTTTTTTCCACTGCTTTTTTTTTTCTCAGTGTGATTCTCTTGATTAGTTATTTGACAGGTTCATAATTGCAAGATCAAATGAAGCATATCGTAAAGATCATTACATTGTTAGTGGCAATCACTGCCTTCTGGATCGGCCTTTTGGAGACAGCTTTAGTCCCACGCAGTTATACTTGGTTGGTGAGTTTATTGATCTTCATTCATTATATGGCTTAAGTGGGTTTTATTATTTATCTTTTTATTGGTTTGCATGAGTTTTTACCTTTGGTTCTTGTCATTTCTTGCCAGCTACCTGTCTACTTTATTGTATCACTAGGATGCTATGGTCTTTTAATGGTTGGGGTTGGTTTGATGCGGTTTCCAACCTGTCCTCAAGAAGCAGGGTTACTGCAACAGGTTTTTACTTTTTGCCTCTCTCACTTTATTTGTTATTCCTTTCACACGATTTAATCTTTTGATTTTAAATAAGAGGTAAATATGTTCTGTTAGCTGCTTCTATGAATAGCGTATCTTACAGGGAAAACAAAGGGGGTGATTTCCATTTATAGATCAAGCATTAGGAAAATGGATAAGATTTGAATTGGACCACCTGTCAGTTAAATATCACGATATGCATCCATTTATGAAAAAAAGGTAACAAGATATGCATGGTAAGAAACAATGAATAAACTTGACTGGATGATAACAATAATATTTGTTTCTGAATCCTGACCCTTCTACTATTTTTTATTTTTCTGACCAGCCAAGGAAAGTTGTAAACTGGAGAAAATTGGATTATACCATCCATAAGTTAAATTTTACTTTCAGATTGGTTGAAGATAACATAATAATACATGCCAACAAATGTTGCCCACAATGTATGCATATTGATTTATTTGATGTTTGTTCTCTTGATTAAGAATTGCAGCTTTGGAATGAGTAAGTCCTTGTCTTTTCAGCTGTACACTATGCAAAGCGTCCATTAAACCTTTATGCTGGCTTTCTAGTTTTTAAAAGTGAGAAAGGTTTAATCTAGACTTAATCAATTTTGTGCAAGCCTAAAAGACCTTTTGGTTTTACTTTGGAGTTATAATCCACCTTGAAGCTTTAACTCATACTTTAAAAGTTTGTATAAATGATTTTTTTTATCCAAATACTGTTCTAATCAAATCTATAGAAACTCTGATATTTATCTGAATGACGGTGCACCAACAATTTAATCAACTTGTTTCATTTGTAGGGTTCAGGGTTAGAGGGGGTAGGGGCATGTTTCATGGATGACAGTGCACCAACAATTTAATCAACTTGTTTCATTTGTAGGGTTCAGGATTAGAGGGGGGTAGGAGCATGTTTCATGGATGAAGTCCCCAAATTTTAGTTTATAATTCAAACGTTAATTTCCACTAACCATTTATTCACTTCCATGGATATGTTCAGTTCTCAAGCAAAGCCCATTCAGTGTGGCCCATTTTCTTTTATACCTAATTAGCTATTAAGATTGATGAAATCCCACAAGAAAGTATGAAACTATCAAGTTAATGCAGGATGAAAATGTAAAACGAAAGACCATTACCTAATGTTGTTTCATTTGTAGGGTTCAGGATTAGAAGGGGTAGGAGTATGTTTCATGGATGAAGTCCCTAAATTTTAGTTTATAATTCAAATGTTAATTTCCATTAACCATTTATCCACTTCCATGGATATGTTCAATTCTCAAGCAAAGCCCATTCAGTGTGGCCCATTTTCTTTTATAGCTATCAAGATTGATGAAATCCCACAAGAAAGTATGAATCTATCAAGTTAATGCAGGCTGAAAATGTAAAACAAAAGGCCATTTGTTTTTGCACAAAGTGGCTACTTTGTGGCTATCTAGGTTATCCGGAGGCAGGAATTGGTTACAGATTTAACCTTTGACATTATTTTTTGCACAAAGTGGCTACTTTCAGGATCAGATTCCTGTTCTCGTGCTGGTCAGCCTGAGATGGCAAACAAAGGCTAGGTTGTGTTGATATGGAGTTGCCACAAACAAAGGACACATCTAGTGGTATAGGTTGCACTCTTTATGATTTCCCTATCCTAGCATATCCATCTTATTTTTTTTTCTTTATTTGCAAAACAGAGACTATAAACTAAATGTTCAATTTCATTCTTTTCTCCCATGTTTGTAATCTATGTTAAATTGTTTATGAGATTGCATCGATATCTTAAATTCAAAGTATATATTTTCTTTATTACTGACCATAGTTAGCACCTAGATCACGTTGATAACACTTTTATGGTCAAAAGAAATTTCAATATATCAGCAACTTTGAACTGTATAGTATGGCTGATTTACTAAGGCAGGAACTAATTATCTAACCTATTTTCCCCCTTTATCTTTACATTTTTAGAGTATAGCCAAGGCGTTGGGTAGAAAATTAGCAGATCTATCTACCCAATTAAACCTTGTGCCCTTTTGCCTTGCTATGATTCTTTGAATCTATTTGGAGATTTTTTTTTCAAGGGCAAGTGAAGGAAAAATGACAAACTCAATAGCATAACCTTTTATCTAAATTTATACTCTCATCATCTTCACAAGCACAAAACTGATTTGGAGTTTTATTCTTGTCTCGTTGTTTGGGAAGAACAAAATGCAATGCTCTTTCTAGAGAAGGAAAGGATGTAGGAGCTGTGAAAGACTGCATTTTGGCTAGGGTGATACATTGGGTGAAAACTTTGGATTTATTCTCTTAGTTCTTCTTTGATGACCTTTGGAGGAATTAGGTGAGTTTTATTCCTGTTTTAACTTGATGTAATACTTTGTTAGGAGAGGTAACAGCTCGTGTCTCTCCACGGGTTTCCTGCAATGCCTTAATTTTCTGGTTTAATAAAATTATCTTCATTCATAAAAAAAATGTGTTATTCAACCCTCCAATGATACATATCTCTTTTTCCAAGTGGTCAACTTTTTGGCAAACTTGTCTTGGACTCCAAAACTAGTCCTTCGATATCTCCTAAAGGGAGACAACATTTGATGGGCCAAGCTAAGATAGAGCATCCTAAGATTGTAAAATATCTTTCCAATATGCCCTCCGCCATATTAGTACTGGTTAAATAACAATTTTCAAGGTAGATTTTTGGACATCTTCTTAAACAGAGTTGTCAACATACCAAGACGATTGTTAAGGTAGACCAGGAGTCATGCACTTAGAGGATTAATGGTAGACAGAAATGATGTAACAGTCATGCACTTGCAGTTTGCAGATGATATCATATTCTATGAAGAAGGCAACTTAGAAGGCTTGAGGAGTTTAAAGGAAATCATTGTTACTTGTGAGCTAGTTTCTAATTTGAGAGTGAACTTGGAAAAGAGTTGTGTAGCAAGGATTAATATGGAGGAGGAAGAATTAAGAATGTTGGCAGAGATTCTAGGGTGTGAGGTAAGGAATTTTCCATTGGATTATCTTGGTCTCCTGTTAGGAGGAAACCCGAGGTCAGAAGTCTTTTGGAAGCTGGTAGTAAAGAGATTCACTAAACGACTAGCACTTTGGAAAAGAAATTACTTCTCAGTGGGTGGAAGAATAACCTTGATTAAGGCAACTGTAGCTAATTTACCTATCTATTACCTTTTCCACCTTTAGGTTCCAGCTAGAGTTGCAGGTCAACTAGAGAAGATCATGAGAGACTTCCTTTGGAAACCAGGGGATGAGAAGAGGGATTATCTAGTGAAGTGGGAGCAAGTTATTAAACCTAAGGAGCAGGGTGGGCTTGGAATAGGGTACCTAATCTCTAGAAATACAACATTGTTAGGGAAATGGTTATGGAGCATAGGAAGAAATAGAGTCCCAGTGATCTATCTCCAATTTGCTGATGTTATTATTATTTTTAGTGAGGGGGTTGACCCAAAGCTCTAATAAGTTACTTTGAAAGGATTTCTAACATGAAAATAAACCTAGACAAGAGCTGTGTGGTATGGATAAACCTAGATGAAGAGTTTATTGAGTCTGTGGCAGAGTGCTTAAGTTGTCATGTAGCTTCTTGGCCCTTGTCTTATCTTGGGCTTCCCCTAGGGGCTAACTTGAAAGAGAGCTGTTTTGGGACTCCAATCCTAGAGAAATTTGAAAAATGGTTAGCAGCTTGGAGAAAGAGCTATATATCTCTAGGAGGTAGAGTAACTTTGCTTAAAGCCACTCTAGCTAATTTTGTCGGTTTATTATCTGTCTATGTTTAGGATACCCTCTAGGGAGGCAAAGAAATTGGAGAAATTAATGAGGGATTTCCTTTGGGAGCCTGGGGAAGAGAAAAATGATCACTTAATAAGATGGGAGATAGTTTGTAAGAGTAAAGAAGAGGGTGGGCTGGGGATAGGGAACTTGGCTCTAAAGAATGTAGCTTTGTTAGGTAAGTGGTTGTGGAGATGGCCTTTGGAAAGAGAGAGGTTATGGCATGAGGTGATAGCTAGTATTCATGGTTGTTTTGAGAATGGTTGGGATGCTGAAGTTTCTTGTTAGGCTACTTTGACCACTCCTTGGAAAGTAATTCACAGTATCCTGGCCCTTTTTTTGAACTTTGCCAGGTATGATGCTTGTTTAGGGAACTTTGTGTTATTTGGGTAGGTAATTCAGCCCTCAAGGACCTACTGAACTTGATGTTGTTTTGGAACTTTTTCATGTCCTAGATAGTGTTTGTTTGGATCCTCTAAAGCTAGATAAGAGGATTTGGTCTTCCTACCCCAAAGGCTTCTTTACTTGTGCTTCATTCTTCAAGGCCCTTTGTTCTTCCCTTGTTCAAGGTGTCTGTCTAGCCAAGGAGTTTTGGTCTAGACCTATTCCCCCTAAAGTTATTTTGTTCTTTTGGATAGTGTTTCATTGGAAGATCAATACTTTAGACTGTTTGCAGAAGAAAAAACTTTTCATGTGCTTATCCCCTAACTGGTGTATTCTTTGCAAAGCCAATGGTGAGGATTGCTTCCACTTACTAATTTCATGCTCTTTTGCTGTTGCTATTTGGGATTGGATATTTGCCTTGTCGGGATGTAGGTGGAACCGGACTGGCCTTTAGATGTAAGTTTGCTTTTTGACCCGTCTACCTTTGTATGGCCCACTAGAAGAGGGAGGACCATGTGGAAATGTATTAGAGCTGCTGCACTTTGGACAATTTGGGAAGAAAGAAATGCAAGAATTTTTCAACAAAAGGAACAAAGTCTCTTACTTGTCAAGGAATGCATCCTAACAAGGTCAATTAACTGGTTGAAAACTTTGGATTCTTTCTGCTCCTTTGATGACTTTTGGAGAAACTGGTTAGCAGTGGCAAGTAGCTCCTCTAGGAAAGAAAATGTCATTTTAGGTTGTACTCCGCCACCTGAAGATTGGGTTAAACTGAATTTTGATGATAATAGTCAAGGATATCTTATCCCCTCAGGCATATGAGGGGTTTTG